ATGTCTGTCTGTCTGTCTGTCTGTCTGTCTGTCTGTCTGTCTATCTATCTATCTATCTATCTATCTATCTATCTATCTATCTATCTATCTATCTATCTATCTATCTATCTATGTGTCTATCTATGTGTCTATCTATGTGTCTATCTATGTGTCTGTCTGTCTGTCTGTCTGTCTGTCTGTCTGTCTGTCTGTCTGTCTGTCTGTCTGTCTGTCTGTCTGTCTGTCAGTCTGTCACTTGATGTAGCTGGGAATAAGTCAGCGCATACTCTGACTGTGACATCTTTAGATATGGCTTGTGACTGAGCATAAACTCTCAGATATGTTTCCTTAAATTGAAATTTGAGATTTTGTAAACTTTTAAAGTAAAAACTTTCCACAGGTTTGATGCAACCAGGTCTAATTAAGTTAAAGTGTCGTTTAAAGTCCTTTAATGATGATAGTACTAACCTGGTGTCCAGAGGGCAGGCACAGGGGGGAGCAGTAGATCACTGACACAGTTGCAGTCCATGACTCCACAGCACCTGAAGCCACACAAACGGGACGCTCAGACACCATCAGATGGACGTACAGGAGCACAACTGAACTTCTAATAAAATGTTGTTTAGCCAAACCAAAGTTAGCTAAGTTTATTTCACGGAGCTGAAGTTGAGGAGTGTGCGCTTTGCTAAAAATTGAGATATTGCGTAAGGATCGAGTTCAAAATTATACCTTAAATCAATGAGAAATATAGCAAGGTTGTATTTCATATGTCTTTGGTGGAGATAAGGTGTTTGATGGATGTGATCTTATGTAGCTACCTGAGGCTGAGGCTGATGCAATGTGGTGGACATCCCTATAGAGTATTTCTAACAGGAGGAATTACTTCTGATAACCAAGACCATTTTTAAATATAAATCATGGTTTGGTGGGGTACTTGTCAAGTTTTTAAAAGTATATATTTTACACATTAAGATACATTTGGTTTAATTAATTGCCATGTTGATGAGGTCAATTTAAAGAGTAGGTCCATCAAAAATGTCCAGTTTATGGTGCGGTCAGGGTCATAGTTTACAAAAAGTAAATTAAAGACAGTATTTTAATGAAACCACATAGAACCATGCTGAAGTAAAATTCTAATTAGCGGTATAAAATATTGTAAAATTAATCCCTGGGGAAAAAATAACAGCAATGAGGGGACAGTGAAATACAAAAAAGTGTGTAAAATAGAGGAGTTAAATTACCATATTTTCCAGCCTATAACTAATTTGCATACCCTGTGACTTATACACCGAAGTGACTTATTTATGGATTTTTCCCCATATTTATAACACAATTTTTGACTGAGATATGACCGTTTTCATTCATTCGGACACTGATAATATTGAACACTACCATTTTCAGCCGCTAGATGGCACTCGAGTTTTATGGCATGCTGTTGTGTCATATAATAGGTAAAAGTGTGTATTAATGACACAATCGGCTTGCCAGAGTCTGCCACCTTCATCCAGCTTGCCTGGAGCAACTGTCAAATTAGCTTAATTTCTCTGTACCGCCCGAGTGAAATGCAGCTAATTTGATCACTTAAGTGCATTTATTAAGTAAAAGTTCAACTGAGACACAGCCTAACTATAAAGTTGAGCAAACAAATAATTGTTTTTAGGTGGTTATCTTGTTAAATTTCAAAGAAATGAACAGCGAGTCGTCCCTCTGCGCGCTTCTACTTCCATGTATCGGTTTTTGAAATATAGCTGATTTGACGATCAAAGTGCATTTATTAAACAAAAATTTAATTCAACACACCTTTACTATAATTTCAAGCAAGCAAATAATTATTTTTAGTTGGTTATCTTGGTAAATTTTGAAGAAATGCACAGCAAGTCGTCCCTCTGCGCACTCCCGCTTCCGCGAATTGGCTTTTGAAATGCAACTAATTTGACCGTCAAAGTGCATTTATTAAGGGAAAGTTAAACTGAGACACACCTTTGCTATAATTTGGAACAAACAAATAATTGTATTTAAGCGTATCTTGTTAAATTCTTATTAAATTCCTCCCGTGCACGCTCCTGTGGTCACCATTTGGCAGCCAATCGATTTTCGGCACAACACTGGCCCACATTTCCGGGTTGTCACCGGTGACGCATAACAAACACGACGCATCAGCGGTGAGGAATAATAGGTGCGACTTATACGGCGAAGGGACATATTTATGGATTTTTTCAAATTATTAGACATTTTTGGACAGATGCGAATTATAGGCTGGAAAATACGGTAATTTTATTATGATCTGTTGCACAAACTATATGAAAATTGCATCTCCTTCTGTAAATGTTTCTTATGGCTGCTTTAAGCTCCCTGGAACATGTCTTTGGTGTTTGGATTTAGACAAAGTTGAAATTTCATAATTATTTTTGCACTTTCTGTGTTTGTGAGTTGTTCTAACATGGTGCAAACCTGCTCCTTACAAAATAAAAAAAAAATAAAAAAGACTTTGGCATGATTTTCACATGTAACGTGGTTCCAGGACCATATTTTAAATGTTCCAAAATCACACAAGAAAACAGTTTCACGTATTAAATTAATACATTTTCACAGGGGAGGATGTGATTTTCTACATGTGACATTCATGTGTGTTTTGTTCCAAACTCACAGGAAACATGTGCATAACATTTTGCACGCCACACAGGTTAAACATAATGTATGTGTGATTTCCATGTGTGACGTTTGTGTGAGAGGTAAAACTATAAAAGGTGTAGCTGAATTTTTTTGTTTTGTTGTTGTCATTAAAAGTACGCAAAATTTGAAACTGTAACAAAATTTCACACATCAAAACTATTGCAAAAGGTGAGGCAGTGTAAACAGTACTTTACAAGAATAATTATAATACATGTGTAATCCTTCTTACACTTTGACTTTAGTTTTTAAATATGTGAAAGATCAGATCAGATCCGAATGAAACAAAAGCAAAATGTTATTAGCTTTGTATTAAGATGAGCTAATTCCATCTGGCATTTAGTTTTTTTTTAAAGAACACCCTATAGATGTTGTCTCTGATCCTCAGTGTGTTTTACACAACCGTGTGTGCGAGCTGGGTAAAGGAGAGCCGTGCTGATTTATTAAACGAGAAACTAAAATGATAACATCTGTTAAATAAATGCATATCTGCGGCGGACAGGCGATGGTGAGGAGGTTTCTGGTGCAGAAGACGGCGTCTGGTTTGAACGTTGCACTTTCATCAGGCCTGTTTGACACAGGAGGGAGAGATGAACCTGCTGCTCCTCTTCAGCGTTGGCCTCTCCATCTACCTCCTTGCTCTCTGCCTCTACTTAATTATGCTCTGTGAATTTTGGATTTTCCCTCCAGCATTGAAATGGAACGTGAATGATTAAGGTGTGTTTGTATAAATTATTATTGCTAACTCCAGGCACTTCTCACTCTCCGCCCGCCCCTCTCGCTTTCCCTCACTCCCTGAGCGCCGCTCTCACCCTGTCTCTAGCCTTTGGATCGTGGCCCCTCTTGTGCTCTCCTCCTGCTCTTTATCCTCCTCGTTTCCACGCCGCTCTCTTTGTCCACAGATTTACAGAGTTGTGTTGTTTTTTTTTTAATCATATCATTCATGTTATTATTCTTGTTTTCCCTCCTTCCATGCATGCCCCTGCGTGCACTTGTGTTCCCAAGTGATAAATAACAGCTATAACTTCACCAGCCTTCAGCATCACAAAATGATGCCAACATATTGCCAAATTCACAATTAGCTCTTTGCATTATGATAAATGAGTTCAAAACCTTCAGCTAATGTCGTCACGTGTCCACTTTGAATGGAAGCTGCTGCGATGACTGATCTTTTTAAAATATGAGAGATTCTTTGTGTTGGAGGTAGTAATCTATAAGTTTCCTCCTCCCTGTGGGCTACAGGTCATCAATACTGCATCATCTCGTTCATTTGCCATATTCACATGGTCCACAGCACGTATAGACTCGTCTCCTCTGAGGACGGTACATACGTGCTCCGATCAGTCAGGGCCTCTTTAGTTACATCTCATGCCACCTACGCACCTCCTCAAATCTATACCCCTCCACCCTTTTCCCTTACCCGGCAGCTCATCCATACAGGTGAGTCCTCCTTTCCTCTTTCCCACCTCCTTCCTCACACACACACCTATCTCCCTTGCCTCTCTGCCCCACCAGTCTCCTTTTCTCTCCTACGCTGTGTGTTTTGTTTCGGCGCAGTAATTTTCCGTTTGATTTCGGAGGTAATGCATTTTTTACAAATCAAAGAGGAAGCTGGGCTGCTCTCCTCTCTCCCCTCCCTCCTCCCCCCTCCTCCTCCACCTCTCTCCCTCCTCTTCTGTTTTTTTATTCTCTCTTTTTCTCTATGCCCAGTCTCCTGTTCTTGCCCCCCCCCCCAGCCCCCCCAGGCCAGAGAGGAGATAAAGGAGCCCCCATCATTTCCTTGTTAGTTTTGATTTGGGCAGCACAGGGCTTTCAAGTTCCCCCCCATCACCCCCAGAAACATTATAACTAGCAGCCCAGGGAATACAGTTCCTCGTATGCACGCACACACACACACACACACACACACACACACACACACACACACAGACACAAACCCACACTAAGACTTGCATGCACAGTCTGTCAAATGCAAACCCTCACAGATTGTAACGGCTTGTATGGTCTCAAACAGATTTGGCAAAAATGTGCAACTATTCAGGTAGTTTCTCACACACAAACACACACACACAGTGAGAGACAGCACACAAAATAAGACATGGAGCCCATAGATATCGACTGGATCAATATTGACACACTAACACACATCTCACCCGGTGAAAAGTGAGAATGTACTTTATTTACTGAAAATGCTGGTGTGCTGATTGGGAGAAGAGAATAGATGTGAGTAGACAAAAAAAAACTACAAATGCATTTTGTTTTTCACAGAGTGGCTGTGGAAACAACAGTCCCAACAAAGGACCTCTTCTTCACAAAAGGTCACTGATAAAACCCAGCGTGGATGATGGATCACACAGTTAGGAGCGTGACAAAACACACAAAGGGCCTTTAAAGTTCCTAGACAGTCGCACTTTGACAAAAAACATAATCATTGCTCAAAGCAGACCTCAGCTGTGCTCCTCCACATGTTGTGAAAGCTGCGCTCCCTCAAACAAATGGACCAATACTGCTGAAAATATATACATTTCTGGTGTGCTGACGAGTCAGAGGCTTTTCATAATTCAATTTGAGAGAGTTTAAAAGCTGTTTGTGACAAGTTCTTTCTGCATCTTAGAACAAAACACTCCATTGGTGCATGTAAGAACAAGGATGGCTTGCGAAAAAGATTTCTGCTGGGCTAAACATGCATTCATCTATAACATCTATAATGGTGCATATTGATGCCAAATCATAGAGAAAGTTTAAATGGAAAAAGAAAACTACATTTGATAAGCAGTTGCTCTCCTTTGTGGAGCAGAGTTTATAATAACCTGCATAAATGCAGGTTATTCTATATACAGTCACAGCTCATTTGTGTAA